TTATGATCTGGTAACAATATGAATGATTTCATCATGAACATTGTTTATGCACATCCTACTTAAATCTTCATTAAGATTCATATATTATGCTAGATTGTTTCTACTGGGCTTTGGCTCACCCTATTTGGGAAAATCATTTTCAGGTGCTGATGATGTGTCTCAACCAAGGACTTAGTTTAGGAGGACTATGGAGCTAAAGGCTCAATTTTATTAATTTTGTACTTAATTTTTGTATAGCCAAGGGCTTTAACTGTATTGAGCTACACTCATTTTGTTGTAACCAAGGAATGACTTGGAAAGATATAAACCGTTAGGGCATTTAAATATTTGTTCAACTTTTTTCTTTTGATTATTAGTAACACATGTTGTAGATTCAGGATAGGACATTTATGAATGATATCACATGTGTTACCTTTTGTATATTAACTTTGATGAAATGAAAGTATGTGTAGACGCGCCCGCGCGGGGGGCCCTACGCTACAGTTCGGACTCGATTTGTGTCACGGTTCTTAATCTGAACCAAAGAGTCCAAATCCGGCAAATCGTTTTAAGAAACAGATTTTTGAAAAAAAGTGCCAAACATGGACTGCTTTGCCAGATATAGAGTCGCCACCTAAATATTTTTTTTATGGGGGAATTTAGGAAACCCTGACTCGGTGCCAAAGGCCACGTGTCCGTCATCACCAAAGTTGCCTCGGCTCGGGAACTTGGGTACGATTGGGGAAGGTCAGCTATGAGCACCCCCTCTCGCCTGATCCGAAGATCGGCCTCTACTAACCGTGATATCCGTTTTTGAAAACGTTATGTGTTCTTATTCCGGTTATTAGTCTAGAATTACTACGTTATGCACACAGCAAACAAGTATAGACTAGATTGCCTAATTTGGGAATAAGCATTGCATATCCGTTCGTTTTGGAAAATGTTTTGGAATTTGCTACTCGCAAGTAGGCTAAAATACGGATTTCAACGAGTTTTTCCAACTCAGACAATCCAACCTTCACCCACAGGCATTCAAACAGTTTATCACATAAGCATCTAGCCACATGGTAAGCATGCTGTTATGATAGCATTCACACGCATGTGATATGCTAAAGCATGAAGATACTTACATCATACTCCGTGCCAAAACAATAAACTAGTTAGCCAACATGCATGGTCCTAGTTCATGTCAAATTAACTAATGCAACACATACAGGATGCAATTAGAGTAGGTTCGGCTATCCTGAACATGGCATGTGAAATGCAACCAATTGATGCACGTATTCAATTTGCAATTGAAGTACAAATGCAGTTAGCATGATGTACCGAGCCTGGTGCATGCAAGGCAAATGTATGGATGCACGTAGGCATAGCATAAGGTATGCTAAATTAAACATGACCTATTACTAACCATCAAAGCAGTTAAGTAAAAGGGAGAAAGAAGTGGGGGTTGGAAGACATGCACACACTCACCCACACTTATTACACAATTGCCCTCACTCGGAGGAACCGAAAGAATAATACAAATTAACTAACTCGTAAGCTAATTAATTATTACAAATCACCTAATTAATTAACAAATTAACTAAGCATAAGGAAAGCAATAGAAGGGGCCTCGGGAAGAGGGTTCGATGCGCGCGTGCTCGGGTCTTGCTCGGAAGTGCACTGCCATGCATAGGTTGCCTCTGTTTTCCCTACTCTGCCTCTTTGAAGACTGTAAAAGTCTCAGAATTGCTTCCCTGGACATTGGGAGACACCACCGGCTGAGTAGAATGGCCACCGGCAGTAGGATGTGACCATCGGCTGTTGATGAAGCTATCGGCCCAGGAAGGCTTGCCGGTCGGCACTAAACACTGCCGGTCGGCAAAAAGTTCCTGCAGAATCTGCAATTGACAGCAACAGAGGGCAAGACAGAGCATGGCAATGCTATTTAAGCAATGTATGCACCAATCACACCCCTTATCATGTTTATGACTCAAAGGGCCATGACCCTTGGTTCTTGGACCATCAATCGCGCATTCTAATGCGTGATGGCCCAAAGAATCAAGTGTGCATTTTTGTTATGGAATGCAATGCATATGAACACATAAAGGCCCAATCCCTATCACTAAATCAAGGGACAAGGCATGCATGTTCAATGCAACCTAAGCATGTTAACTAACATGCAACATGGTATAAAAGGGAGCTTGCAAACATACAATGCACATTAGGTGCACAACCTAAGCAACAAGGCAAACAAGCATGTCACAACTATGCAAACTACTTAGAGCATGCAAGATGTAATCTAATCATGCAACATGCTAGTAATTTGACCAAGGGAATGCATTCCAAATGCAAATGATTTCAAGCATGCAACACATGCAACCAAAACATGCAAGAATGAGATAATGTAATAGCACTTGAATGGCATACAAGGGATGGACTTACACTAATTGGACAGCTCTAAGTTAGGTCCAAAACAGTGGCCAATAGCTTAAGAAGATAGGACCAAACACACGTACACACATACACACGTTAAGGCCTAAACACTTGAGCATCAAAGGACATCTTTTAAGCACACTTAAAAGTGAATAATCATAGGCATGGGGCATGCATTAAGCTCTGAAAATCATGCAAGAACATGGTGCTAAACCAAGCAAACAAGATAGGCTAAACATGCAACAAATGGCCTAAGCATTCAAGACAAGCTAATGAAGTATTGAACTACACTTGATATGACCACATATGGTAAGACCTAAATGACCAAAAACAGAGTTTTAGCACATAAAACAAAGCCCAGAAGACCGCTTAGATGGCATCTAAATGGCTTGAATTCAAAAGCATGCACAAATGCACTTTCAAGGAGCATACCACACGAGCTCATAAGGCATCAAAGAGGCATCCAAGGCAAGCATACAAGCATG